ACTAAGATTTCTCTGCTTCAGAAAATATGTCAATGAGTGATGATCAGTCATAACGTTGACTTTCAATCCAAGGAGTAGGAGGCGCCATTTGTTCAGCGCATGAACAACCGCCAAAAGCTCTTGCTCGTGTACTGGATAATTACGCTCAGCTGGGGTCATGGTCCTCCCATCGTAAGCAACAGGTGACGCAGTTTCCCAATTTTCACCTTGAAAAAGCGCCGCTCCAAGCCCATGCCCACTAGCGTCAGTGAAAAGCCAGATTGGTTCCTCTGAGTCGTAGTCGAGGTTTCGAAGAACTGGTAAGGTAGTGATCATCCGCTTGATGTTGTTGAAGGCTTCATCTTCTTTGTCTGTCCACTTCCATTCCTCAGGTTTCTTCTTAGAACTTGTTAAAGGCGTTAAAGTACTGACATATCTTGCTAGACCTTCTATAAATTTTTTCATCCATTGGACAGTACCCAAAAATTCCTTCAGTTGTTTTGATTTCTTGGGCGCACGCCATCCCGCTACTTTTTCGACCTTCTCTTCATCCGCACTGATGCCATCGTCACCAATAACATGACCTAAGAACTTGATCTGTCGTCGAAACAACTGAGTCTTTTTGATCCCACAATAGAGGTTAGCTTCACGGAGGCGTTGCAATACCTGACGTAAGTGTTGTTCATGCTCTTCCACGGTCTGTGAAAAAACCACGATATCATCAATATACACAACGCATACTTTGTTCAACAAATCACCAAGTGCCTCTTCGCAACGGCGTTGTTGGGTTGCCGGCGCGTTTGTCAGGCCCATGGGCATGACGACCCATTCATACAGTCCCCACGGCGTCTTGATCGCTGTCAGTGGGATATCTTCTTCCTCCATTCTGGTTTGGAAAAATGCGTTAATTTGATCAAGCGAAGAATAAATCTTGCCTGACGCTACGAGCCTAACTGCCTCATCCGGATTAGGCAATGGTCCTCGATCCTTCACCGTGTATTTGTTGAGGGTTCTGTAGTCGCAGATGAGCCGTGGTAATGCGGTCGGATCCTTCTTTGGTATGATCATCGAAGGAGATGCGTATTGGCTGTGAGATTTTCGAATCCTCCCCGCCGCTACATGTTGATTAAGCAATTTCTTCCAAGCGTCCAAGTGTTTTCGTGGATATCCATACTGTTTATCATTGATCTGAATGTTTGGGTCAGTTAAAATTATGCGGTGTCGAACCTTGGAAGCTTCGGATTGCAGCTTGGCCGGGAAAATCTCATCATCTTCAGCATCAATATCATATACTGCCGGCAACTCCTCAGGGAATGAATCTTCGAACTCTCTTAGCATAGCAACCTCACGCACACTGAACTCATTCACTTCATTCACCTTCTCCATATTTTGTAAAACTGTGCTGACTAAGGCTTTTCTTCTCCTCTTCAATTCCTCACTCTCTCGTCTCTCATCAATCACACTCTGTTCATAAAAGCTATAACCATTCTTTTCACTACGAAGTAAGCGTTGGGAAAGAGATACATCAAGACAGTGTTTTGAAAGAAAAGGCGCCCCCAAGATTAAATCGTAATCCCCTCCTAATGGTGCCACCTTGAAGGCTGTCGCTCCGAAGGTAAACGAAGGGTGAGGTGCCTTGATGTTAGCAAAAGTATATTCTTTTAAGACAAACGGTGTGGGCTCCGAGAGAATAGCAGGACGCACCGTGACCGGGACAGGTAAAGGGCGTCGAATCAATCGTAGTTTATCAGTTGCTTGTTCCGACAGGAGGTTCGTCCCTGCACCCGTGTCAATCAATACACGAAGAGATATGCCGTTCACGAGCCAATTCATGATCAGAGTTCTTCCACCATTATGATTTTTAGAGGAAGATCCATACTCTGCAGCATCCACGGTATCTTCATCTTGAGTCCCATTCAATTGGTCCATGAGTTGCTCATACGCCGCGAGATCCGCTCTCCCAAGATCCGGGAAGACTCCAACTGCAGCCACATCTACCGAACTCTCGCCCATATCCACTGCCGCGACCTCCACACGTCGAGGCGGTCTCGGTCCACCAATAGGTGGAGAAGGTCTAACCGGTGGCAACGTCTGATTACCTTTCGCAGGCGGGTAAGGTGGCGCACGGGGGAATTCCATGGGTACCGAAAAAAAGGTCGTGTTGGGTTTTGCATCACAGCCCCCTAGCCACTTGCTGCACGAACTCTTGCATCTGGGGCACAATCCAATCGATCTCATGTAAGCACCAAATCGTACGTTACGAGCTTGAATCTCGTCAGAGGATAGAGGAGGTCGAGACGAAGCTGAGGTGCCCAAATTAACCACTTGGGACGGTCTGGACTGGACACTCGCTGGGACTCCGATCGGATTGGAGGAGGATTGAGTTCTCCCATTACCTCTGCCATCAATCGATTGGGTTAGTAACCAAATGGCGCCCAATCGCTCTTCGAAGATCAGGAAGAAGAATCGTTTCGTCAAGGGTTCCACGCTGTTCTTCACAACACGTTCCATCTTCACCCAGGCTTTGAAAGTACCCGAAGTCCCCCCCACAACCGCTTCAGCTAAAGACTCATCACTACAATCTTCAACACCAATCTCCTCCTGAATTGTCCTAGCACGGCCACAGTACGCTGTCACTGATTCATTGGACTTCATAGCTAACTCACGCAACCGTTCCTTGGCTGTTTCATCCCAGCCAACCGGCAATACTACACCCTGCATCTCGAGCATCACAGCATCCCATGATTTGCCTTGAAAATTACGCTCCGATCTTCTACACCATGACGAGGCCGGATCATTTGCGAGCACCAATGGGAGAATACGAAATCGGTCCTCTGGTAGATCGATTTGTTTGACTCGAAAGGTTGTCTCCATCTGATATTGCCACATACGAAAGGCGGCTACGTCACCAAATTTACCTTTGTATTGAGGCCAATCACTAGCGCGGAATTTAGACAAGTCGGCAGTCGCCGGAACCACACTGGCCGGGGTGTCAGCAACTGATGGTAAGGACGGAGGCACATTGAACAGATTTTGACGTCCAACTGCAGGCGTAGAAGTGAAAATTTGAGGTGTGGTGTCACGGCCAGCCCCTGGACGAGGTCGTTGCGTAGAGGTTTCATCCGGTGAGGTCACGTCGCCATTATGATCATCTTCCTGAGGTCGTTGACTGCGAAGGAAGTTCTGTAGCAATCCCCGAACCTCACTAATTTCTCTCTTGAGATCCGCATTGTCCGATCTTAAACCATCATTATCAAGTTTCATACGAGCGAATTCCGCGCTCATATCAATGTCTGGAGGTACTGATGTGGACTGCTGGTTCGCCATGTTCTGGACGGTGACTTCGCCTGAACTAATAAAGGATGTATGAGGGTCGAAATTTCCAGGAATACTGCGTCGAGGATGACGGTGGCCGGGTCGCGGTAAGTCAAGTTGCTGGTGAAGAACGGTGGAGTCGTCAGATAATTGATCCAAAGAAATCGACCCAGATGGTAGCGGCCACCGCGCCGCGATGACAGGATGACCGTGAGGATTGGGTGGATTCACAATTGAATCCCACTGTTGGACTATCAAAGGTGCCTCCCCAGTAGACGGAACTACCGGTAGGATTGGCGGTGCTGAAGTAGGTTGTACAGGTGTACAGGAAAGTGGCGCAGTATTACCTCGAGACGGGAATATGATACGTTCCGGGTTATCAACTTGAGGTATTGATTCTCCAGGATTACGACGGGTTGTTCGAGAAGTTACTCGACGGTTGTCCGACATAGACAGGATGGCAGGTGAAGGCGAAACAGACAAGGCTGGGAAAGCTGGGTAGTGACAGGTCTCAGGGAGTGCGGGGTAACAGGTTTTAGGTTCAGATCTCAGGCTAAGACAGGAAAGAAAAATAGAAAAAAACGACGTTCGAGTGAACGAAAAAATTTTGAGTTGTTTGAATTGAACTATTTTAAGATTTTTCAATTGAGTGGCGGTTTTAATCGTAGTTGATTGAGTTCAATCGCGTTCGAGGATCGATCGTCGTATTCGAACTCGTAGGTGTACTTCAAAAAAGTGTAAGGTCTCTCTCTCAGAGACCTTCACTGATTCTGAGGGTCACAAGGCTGAGGCCAGACAGAAGTAGCACCTGAGTATAATTCCTGATAAGCCTATAGAAAAGAACAATCAATATAAAGAAATCTAAGTAGAGAGATAAGGAGGAAAGGAGTTCCTCGAGAAAAGAAACTGAAAGGGAGAGAGGATGGGATCTCTATAAAGTACTTCTAACAACAACTCTGTAAACCCATACTACACATGTAATGCTAACCCATACCCCATACTCTTCCCTTACAGTTTTGTCTAAGGTCAGAAACCCGTCTTTGTGCATCAATTTGCATTCAACATCCCTTTCAAGCTGATCATTTACAGTCATTTACCCGATGTGCCATACAGAAACTCAACACCTCACCCCAAAACTCTTTGGCAACTGCGAGCTGAACTGCACTTATTTTCTGGAAAAAGCTGGCTACTTGATAAACTCCTTTTTTATCCAGATTCTGAATCACATTATTAGATCAACTGTCACATCAAAATCACCTCGATTTCAATCAATCACCCCTATCCCTTCCGGCTCAATTGCTTCAAGATATGACTTAGATAGGTTTGTTGGTTTCCAGTTTGCTTGACTTTTAGATTTTATTCCTAACCGATAATCCTTCTTGATTCTGATTTTTGCTTGGGTATCAGAACCGGTCATTGCATTTGGATCACCTTGATTGGAATTAGTTGCATCTATCCCTTGGTCTTGAGCTGATTGATCAGAAGAACCAGTATAGACCTAGACAGCTATATTTATGTTCCTCAAATGTCTGGCTTTTGTTACAAGAACTCACTACTGTGCTTTATTCTCATTGTTCATTTGATTTCGATGATCCAGTTTATGCAAAACTGATGTCATGGTTTGTAGATCATTCATCGCCACTTGCACCATTTTCTGTACATTGAGCTGCTACAAAAGGAACATAATTAGGAAAAGAAATTAGTAAATGGTTCGGACCAAGTACAGCGGCTGCAGCAATCAAGTTGAGTTGAATTTTTATTTTTAATTGATGATGACATGCACTTAAAGTGGTCACTTTCTTCTTGCTAGGGCTTTCATGTGAGTTTTACAATTGATCTGAGTTTTTCCGAGCTTCGATCCGACCTGGTACCACACCATCTAAACTGAGATCAGTTCCGACCACATCAGTTATAAGATGGAGTAGACCTGTATTTCTACTTGTGAATGTTAGATTAGTTTTAGATCGACTCAACCCATCATATTTCGAAACCATTAAGGTCAGTTGATCTGAAATCTTCACAAGACACAGCTTTCCTCAACTCTGATCTTGCTTCAAATGATAGGCTACATTCATGTTCCCAAAATCAGTAGGAATAGCACGAGGAAGGTTATCATAATCATCATTTCTGTGGATTTCAATCGTATTCATTATATAGATTGATAAAATCCAAGACAAGCGATTCCATTAGACGAACCACTGGGCGAAGCATCAAAAGCAGCAAAACTAAAACCATCAAGTGACTCAAATGATCATAATCGATTGATTAGAAACATTAGGAATGATGGGCATTGGGAACAAGTTTCAATTGGTAGGTACGATTGTAGTTTTGTAATCTAACCAGTAGTTAGTGCATAATTACTTTCCAAACCGATTTCTTCATCAAGTGTAGGAGTGGAAGGATCTTCTTCTATTGATGGAATTAGAATCAACAAAAGATTAGATGGATTTTATTTGGAAGCTTATCTGGGTAGTTCATTAAGAGCTTATCATCATCCAGAAAAATTTGAAAGGATGTTGATTTACTTTTTGGCTATGGATCCTTCTATGTTTGTTGGATTTTTATTTAGGAATGAAGAACAATGGGAAGACAACTCATCGGCTTTGATCTATCTGATCTGTAAGTCTGCGTAATTGAATTACAACCGGTGAATGTGAATATTGATTTTTGATCATCGGTTTTCTTATGTATATATATATAGCTTCATCTTTTGGAATCACTCGTACTAGCATTATTGTCCGCCTGTCTGAACTTCTTGGATATTCTCCTTTGAGCCGTCTTAGATTCCACCTACCAAAAGCAAAGATGCGCTATGATCTGCTATGATACGAACAGAGACCTCATTCAAAGTTTGCACAAGTGTTTGGATACAAATGCTCTCTGGTAGTATTGGCTCTTTGATTCTTATTGTTTTTCGTCCATGGAAATAGATAGTGCTTCTCCAAAGCTATACCTCTTCATCCACTCTCGCGCGTCTCACCATTGCAGCTTGTCCCGTTTGTTTTATGCATTGGGGCGAAAGTAAATTTCACACATACTTCATTTCTATCATCAATAAAAGGCCAAATAGACTGTAATAAGTCTCTCTTTAGACGGGGTCGTTCAAAATTTGAAATGGCTTGAAGATCAAGGTCCTACAAGTTCGTCATTGATTGCCAAAAGAGACTTGGATGTAGCAGCGAAGATAGTTGCCGACCAAGAACTCACCGGCCTTACTCCAGAGGAGAATGTCAGGATACGACACAATATTGATAGGAACCATAAGCTTGATTATTTTGAGACTCAATGTTGGCAGCTGCTCCCAGCCTATGATTGATTTTCAAACCTTTTACCTTTGCAGTGCTCCCTTTGCATGCCCATGATAAGATACCTCAAATGAGACTTTGTCGCGCAATGTCAACCGTGGTGCCTGATGGAATAATACTTCTTTTTTCTGAGCAGAATGATGGTGACAATTTTGTACACTTGTGAGTTGAATAGAAAGGCTTTGTCGCATCTAAAGTTCTTTGAAAACTCTGCTTCCCAGAGCCATAAATAATAAATACATTTCAGCATGGATAAAACCACTTTGGGTAATTTCTAGCCATGTACAATTGAGTTTTTTGACCAATTATGATCCAACTTAGCTCCTGCGTAGTGTCCTTAGGAAACACCGCTCTGCTCGGATTACAAAAGGATTTCAAGCTGACTGCGGCTGACTACAGTTGGCTTGGTACCATATTTTATCGTAAGTCAAGTCTATTAAATGCACGTACTCTTTGAGTGCATGATGATTAACAAAAACTAACACACCAGACATTGCTGCAATCTTCACACCTTCAACGCGCAAAGTATCATACCTGCTGTTTGAATATCCTCAGAGCCTCGCCCTTCAACGTCACCCAGTCGGAAAATGGCTAGCTTTTAATGGAATACTTTGGGCGATTTTAGTCGCCTCTCAAGTAGTGAATATGCCCTTTGCCTGCTCCCTCATGGCTCACTCGAAGTTCAACTGTCTCATATTTTGGATTCCCTGCTTCTAGGCCTGCAAGAATTTCTAGCAATTATGTTTGTGCCGCTTTCTCTTGGGAGCTTGCGAGGGATGTGATACGTCGGCTTTCATGATCAGCACCTCAATGTAAGATATCTCCACTCCAATCCCTACACAGAGCGATGATTTCATGATGTGACATAATATGTATAGGTTCTACACTCATCAAGAGCAAGGATCAAGAACAGGTAACGTAAACAATTATGACTGGTTGGTTTATGCAGCAATGTGTTTCTGAAGCTATTGATTTATTTTTCTCAAGGGTATTTTGGTGGCTAATAGCAGCTTCCTTAGCTTTGGTGTGCTTCAATTCCGCAGCAAAAGCATAAGTCACATGAAGCTTGGATCACAATAGTTTTCATCCCGTTGAAAAATCAGCTGATTGATTGACCGCAATGTAGTTCCATCCCTGGCAATGGTTCTTCATTTTCACATCAATCATCACAATGAGTGTATCACTCCTGTTGCTCTTTCTCTTTCCCAACTCCCCTGCAACCGCTTGGTTTCTGACACCGGACAAAAGGGTGAAAGATATCTGATTCTCAGATATTGTGCTTCAAAATGCAAGTGATTGAAAGCTATATCTTTCCTCTCAAATCAATTTAGATCTCTGGGTTAACACGTCCTTTTTGGACCTCTTCCATAGCAAATAGCCTTGGATAAGAGGGAAGAAGTCTGTGAGGATTTCGAAGAAGCAGACAAAGGCAAAGGACTTGATTGAGATGACAGAGGGACTCAAGTGAGTCTTTTCAATCACGCCAGCTCAACTCAGAATCACCTTGGTCTAACAATGTTGGGGTTTTCCTGTAGCAGTACGCGAATCTATTCTTCTTACTTCAAAGCAAACCAAGACTGATTGCTGCCTTGTATAGATTTAGTGTCCATGGGCAAGATTGATACTCCTTCAAACTGTGATGTTCATGCTTCATGGTAATAAGTACAAGAATCAAGATTCATAAGTTACAAATCCACGTTCAAGCTGCGTCTGGTCTAGGGATCTTTGATTTTTACTTTTTGTCCATATTCAAAGGTATTCAACCTTCAGATTCATGGGATTCTGGATCTTGTTTCAATCATTAAAATCTACAATCAAAATAACAACTAACTGATACTTGAAATTATCTAGATCCATCTCTCGGCCTTGGCTCAACTCTATAGGCACTGGAAAAAGCTACAAGACCAGCAAGGCTATCATCATACCAAACAATTTTGGGCAGATCAACTTCTTGATCAAATTAAATCAAGATGTTTGTTTAGAAATTGTGAATAAATTTGATGATCTTTTTCTTACTACCTCTTCACTTAAAGCTAGGTTAGGAATTGTTACTGGATCAGACCATTTGGACGATTTGGTTGCAAGTTTGATTTCAGTGGATTCATTCAACTGATTATTTCTGTGTACACCAACCGACCAACACATAAATCAGTCCATTCTAAGTGAATACATATATCTCTGGATAATCTCATGATTGAAAGATGTCATGCACTTATGATTTTCAATTCAATTGAGTATACTTTGAAATTTTGCAGTTCATTGTTGATTTCTGCATATGCATCTCATCAGTCTTTTTCATAAACACTACTCAGGCTTTTTGGGTTTCTGTCTATCTGTGAAGTTTTCAGATTGGTTTGCAATGTTTTGATTGCCACTTCAATCCTGAAAACAATGATACCCTTCTATCAACCCTGTGCCAGCAATGCAGCACGCCACAACAAAGGCTTTTCTGGCTGCATTGCTTTGCAAAACGTAGCATACATGCAGCAGCTGGTGTTACGTTGCGCCTAGAACCGCGAGACAAGATAGGTAAGTCAAGTTGCGTGCCGGCTCACCTGTTGTGCAACAGCACCAAAAAAATATAAAAACCAGTGCTTTTGTAGACCGCAACACAACAAGTGCTGTTGCGGTTAGAAAAAAACTCCAATCCAAAGGGCTTTGTTGCGCGTCAGGGTCGCACGCAACACTGATATAAAATTTGTGCAACTTTGCGTTGTGTGGATTGCGCAACACTGATATAAAATTTGTGCAACTTTGCGGCATGTGAATTGCGCAACACACCATGAGCGCAGCGCGCAATAGCTGTGTTGACCCAGGGTTGCTTCTATTAATGATGATTAAGGAATACTCTTGCAGACACCCTTCTGAATCATCATTACAAAGCCACTAGATAGAGGAAAGGATCATGATCTCTGACAAGATTTAGGAAATTCAAGCTAATTGCATCCTCCAATTACAAATCCAATTGGAATCATTTGATGGAACAAACAATTGTCTCAAGCAAAACAACAAATTTTTGATATGTTCAAAACCTTAATTCTCCACTTGGATTGATCATGTTGAGAATCACCTGGAAATCCTTCATTACAATCAGATCCTGTCAGTGGAATCAGTCTTCATGCCCCATTTGTTTTCAGATGATAGGAATATGACAGCATTTAGTGGAATTTATAATTCATTCACATGTACAGGTTTTCCTTCCAGCTTAACAATTATTAATTGAGCTTCAAGATACTAACTGCACTTTCTCTAATTTTGCAAGTGCTGTATTGTCCAAATACATTTGAGTCTCACTGTGTATCTCAATTTTGTGACCTCTCTGTTGCAAACAAATTTTGCCAGGTTGAGGTCATCAAGGGTGATTCCCACACCTGAATTTAGTAAATATGTATTTGTAGGAAATTTTAGTTTTGTCATGCTTTTGGGATTGTGTTCTATTGTACATGATGTGTTTAGGTTATACATGGAATGGCGGCGTCAGCCGCTAAGGTGCTAGTACATTATATTCGCAGTGTATTCTTGGAAACATTGAATTTGGAAGTTTCCGACCAACCAACGTATGATCCACTCAAACCTCTGTAGTGATCCTCATGGCCAGAGCCTACCACTGACTACATGAAAGATTCATGAAAGATTCAGCAAGATTTCAAACTGACTTAACATAATATCATATGGGGCCATTTGCCTGTGCGACCACCAAAATTCCAATGTCATCATATGACATCATAAATCTGTACACACCTGCTCCTGTATTCACAGATCAAGAATATATAGTCTATTAAACTTTATCATGTAAATTGACTGAGTTATTGAGCTTTGAAAAAAAACCATGGATAAAAGATACTATTTTTCACCTGTGCCTACCCGACACTTCGGACTCTAGCCGAAGGAAAATGTACAATTCTCATCGGCGATAAGCCGAAGACCTCCCTTTCGACACGCCGACGCGGCCGCCGCGTCGGCGGCTGAAGAAAAATTTTCACTTCAACACCCTCAGGAACACCAAAAAACTCGTCTAACACCTCTTCTACACCATATTCACAAAGAAAAAAATATTGATTTACCTGAATAAAGGACATAGAAATTACTTATAACCCATCAAAGACTTGTAAGTCCAACCTTGTGTGACTTGGAATTATCATGTGGGAACAGAGTCCCACATGTCGAACATAAGATCCCTCATGTGAGAGGTGAGATTACATAAGTGGGAAATTGGATATCCTATGTGGGAATTAGGATACCTCATGTGGGACATATAGTTCCCCATGTGTGATTGGGGTCCCACATTAGTAATTGTGAGAAGTGAGATTACATAAGTGGGAAATTGGATATCCTATGTGGGAATTTGTATACCTCATGTGGGACATATAGTCCCTCATGTGGGATTGGGGTCCCACATTAGTGATTGTGAGAGGTGTGATTACATATGTGGGAAATTGGATATCCTATGTGGGAATTTGGATATCTCATGTGGGACATATAGTCCCTCATGTGTGATTGGGGTCCCACATCAGTGATTGTGAGACGTGAGATTACATATGTGGGAAATTGCATATCTCATGTGGGACTAATAGTCCCTCATGTGTGATTGTGGTCCCACATGTGTGATTGGGGTTCCACATGAGGGATTGGGGTCCCACATTAGTCATTGTGAGAAGTGAGATTACATATGTGGGAAATTGGATATCTCATGTGGGACTTATAGTCCCTCATGTGTGATTGTGGTCCCACATGAGAGATTGGGGTCCCACATTAGTGATTGTGAGAAGTGAGATTACATATGTGGGAAATTTGATATCTCATGTGGGACTCATAGTCCCTCATGTGTGATTGAGGTCCCACATTAGTGATTGTGAGAGGTGAGATTACATCTGTGGGAAATTGGATATATCATGTGGGACGTATAGTCCCTCATATCAGAATGGCATTCCACATTAGGGAATCAAAGTTACACATGGGAGACTTTGGATTTCTATCATACATGTTAAACATATAGTCCCTCGTGTGGGACGCAGGATCCCACATGTGGAACATAAGATCCCACCTGTGGAACATAAGATCCCACCTGTGGAACACATGATCCCACAAGTGGGACACAAGAATAGGCATTGAACCTGGCTTCTTCGATTAATGTGTGACAGGGATCCCACATGTGGGAATCCAGCTCCCACATGAAGGAACTTGTACCATCAATCCCACATATGTGGGTCCGAATTCCACACGTGGGAACCATCCCACATATGTAGACATAATCACACATGTGGGATCGGTTCGTATCTCTTATGTGTCATTTACATCACGCGTAAGTATATATGTACTTATGTATGTACTTAAGTAACCAACCACAGCTTCGCCAGGGACCAAATGAGTGAAAGACTTGAAAAATCTTTCCCATCGATCCCACAACTCCAAGAATCCCTCTCACCTTCAATCACACAACAGACTCCTTGATGGAGTCTTCCACTTCAACCACCAAGGACACTTGCTCCTCCTCTCTTCCCACGACCTCTGCAACAACTACCACAACCACTGCCACCCCCTCTACCGGCGAGAATTCGATTGCAACCACAACCAACCCGCCTACTGAACCTACCCAAACCACAGGTGTCCCCTCTACTGAGGATAAAGGATCCTCTACCTCTACCGAGCAGGAAGACGCCACTATCACCTCCTCGGAGCCGAAAACTTACACCGAGATACCACCTCCACCTAGAGAGGGTACCTTCAAGACCGTCGACGATGTTGAAGCCCACCTCACTGCTCACGCCCGAGCTAACCAATACGAAATCACCAATCTAGACGTGCGCAAGAACCTCTTCTCGACTTGGAAATGCGCTCTTGGACCGAATCGCAAGCAGACCCGGGCTAAGAAAGCAGCTGAAGCACAGGGAAAAACGCTTGATATTCCCACATGCCCCTTTGCGATGACTGCGAAACGAGATCCGGTCACCAATACTTGGTACATCAAGATTGAGCACAACAAACACAATCATGGGCCAATACTCGACATGAAGATTGATCATGACACGCCCTTGGTGAAGCCTAAGAAACGGAAACGAGGAGAAAATGAATCCAAGTCCAATTCAAATTCATTTCATCCCTCGAATGAAGTCAAGATAGCGCTCTCGAAGACTGATACAACCTCGAATCAGATAGTATCAGCCCCGAAGGAACCGAATAAAACTTTTTCTCCACCTCTTACGTTCTCTGCAATCCCTGAGCGATATCATGCCTTGATAACAAATCTGCAAGAACTTGACGAAGCTACCGAGCAACGTCTACTTGCGGTCTTTGTAAGGGATTGTCAACTAGCTAAAAATATCACTGAGCCAGCCATCAACATCAACAAAGTATGTCAATTTTTCTTTTTTTTTTCTTTCAAATAAGTTTTCAATCGTATAAACAATTTTTTTTCATTCTTCAATAGCAAACAACCACTACCACCGCTGGACCTTCCCATTCGCAATCGAATTCGACAGTAGAAACTGATCAAGAACCCCAAATACACGAACAAACAAAAGACAAAGAAGAACGCAAAAATGAAGAGGAAGAAAATGCGACCATTGATGATAACGACTCTGATGATATCCCTACGACTTTGTTAGTTGATAAACATACACCAGCGAAAACTACTGAGACTCAGACCAAGAATTCAACAAAAACAACTAGTGAAGCGCCTTTGGAGCAAGCTACAGGTACTGAGAACAACAAATCAAGGCCAACGACCCGCAAATCCACTCGAGTAACTTCACATTCAGATAGTGTAAGCCTATCATTACCCTCCAACATTATATTGATCATCTACTGATTTCTATTCTATGATATTCATATCATATTCATCATCCTACGTAGATTGAACCACCTAAGAAGAAATCAAAGAAAAATCAAAAAAGCGTAAGTCCATCAAAAAGTGTAAGTACATCTGCACGTAAACTGTGACATGAACCTAACGCCTATTAAGCAGCATTCCAATCCTACTCCTCCACATACAGGAACAAGCACCCCCAACGAGACCGAATTCCCGAATAACGAGAACCCAGAAGTCGTAAAGGAAGTCTTAAAAGTGTGCTAAATCTCTCTATAATTTTGATTTATCTATGCACTCAACTAACAAATATATTAGCGGTGGGATTTTGTCAAAACTCTCCCTACTGTCATTTGTCCCTTTATAAAGCTTGCCACAAATGTCCCCGCGAAGGGACTCTGTACCTTTGCAGCGGTCGCAGTATCTCTTGGAAGAACGGCAGAAGATGCAATGGAGGTTCGAGCTGAGCTTGCGAAAGAAGTTAGAAAAAATTATGATTGGTATAAAAAAAATCTACCCAAACTTAGCTCAAGTCGAATCAGTGTGAAAAAAATGCTGACCATCCTAGAACATCCGGATGATTGGGCACCACAATCCTTATGGTATCCGCTACCAGGTGGTAGCTGTGTGATTGCAAATACTTACAATAGAGCGGTCCTATTTTATTCCAATGCGGCAACAGCCTGCCAAACCACCCCACCCCTTCTATCGGCTCCTGGTTTATCTGCAAAACCAATTATACTAGGTATCATTGATAGTTGTCATTGTATCTCACTAGAACTTTCTTTTGAACCAACCTTACCAATCCCTTACTTCAATCCTGACTGGAAGAGGTTGAGAACTGAACTTGCCGAAGAGTGGGAATCATATTATGTCGAAAACATCCAGGTTTTCAAAGAATGGCAAAATCAATGCAACTCAATTGTAGGATCTAATTGTGATTGGGTAAAAGAAGTTTTGTAATTCAAAATTAGTAAAAGTTGTTTTCAAAAGTCATATATCAAAATGCTCTTCATTTCTTATTTTTCAATTATTTAATCTAATATACATTTAATCTAATATCTTTTTGGAATTTAATTGAAATATCCAAAACCTGAAAAACGTGGTCCCACATGTGCAATAGGATTTCCCACATGTGGAATACGATTTACCAGATGTGTAATCACGGTTACCACATGTGTGATCAAAGTTCCCACATATGGAAACATAACTTCCACTTTTGGGAAGCTTCATCACACATGTGGGATCCCAGTTCCCACATGTGGGAAGGTTCATCCCACATGTGGGAATTGGGATCCCACATTTGGGATCCCAATTCCCACATGTGGAACCCCCATTCCCACATGTGGGATCCAGATTCCCACATGTGAGATTCCAGTTCCCACATGTGGAATCCCAATTGCCACATGTGGGAAGGTTCATCCCACATGTGGGAAGGTTCATCCCACATGTGGAATCCCAATTTCCACATGTGAGATCCCAATATGTGGGAAGGTTCATCCCACATGTGGAATCCCAATTTCCACATGTGAGATCCCAATTCCCTCATGTGGAATCCCAATTCCCGCATGTGAGATCCCAATTCCCACATGTGGAAGCCCTATTCCCACATGCGGAATCCTAATTCTCACATGTGGGAATTGTGATTGCACATGTGGAATCCTAATTCCCACATGTGGAATCCTAATTCTCACATGTGGGAATTGTGATTGCACACGTGGAATCCTAATTCCCACGTGTGGAATCCTAATTCCCACATGTGGAATCCTAATTCCCACATGTGGAATCCTAATTCCCACATGTGGAATTCTGATTCCCACATGTGGAATCCTGTTTCCCTCGGGGATGGTACGCAGTATTATCAGAGTGGAATCTGTGAAAGGCGACGGGCACAAGCAAGGGTTGTTAGCGGAATCACTCTCAAAAGAGTGGCAAGAAAATTGGCACTGCGACATTCACCCCAATGGATGAATCGCGCCAAACCCAACTCCAAAGATTTTCACTATCGTCTCCTCAGTTTGTATTCCAGATTTGTCCCAGAAAAAGTTGTGTAGCAAAATTTTTGATATCTCTAACTTCACAAAAACAAAATTCGTAGTCTCTACACACAAAAAATTATACTAGCTATTTTCGAATCTTTCTTCACATCTCTTAAAACTATCTCCACCAACCTAATTACTTTATCAGTTTAAATTTTTTCGTTGTTAGTTCGTTGTTTTTTTTCCCGCCCACCACCCTCTAGTCAGACTGGGGTTAAGTTTCAGGCTATCGTTATCACTTCCTCTAAATCAGAAGTAGGGGGGCACTGCAGTGGAGCGCCCAGCGCCTAGTCTTGGCCACCCGCAAGTACTCTGCGCGCTTGGCCACCCGCAAGTACTCTGCGCGCTTTTATCACATGAAACTCAGGCCCCAGGTCACATGCTCTGCGTAACCACAACAACCCCGTGCCACCTAGCCAAACTGATTCCACATGTGGGATCCTGATTCCCACATGTGGGATCCTGATTCCACGTGTGCAATCACAATTCCCACATGTGAAAATTAGGATTCCCACATGTGGGAATTGGGATCACATTTTCAACACATGTAATCATGATTCCCACAAAAATAATACCAAAAGTGACACTACATGTCACACCGCTAGGAACCACGATTCCACATGTGCAATCACAATTCCCACATGTGAGATCATGATTCTCAAATGTGGGAACCTGATTTTCACATGTTCCCACACGTGGAAACAGGATCACACCAAATTGCTTGAGTAATACCAAAGGTGATATTACATTTAACACCTGTGGGATTGCATTACTTTGATTAATGTCTTAATATTAATCAAATTAATGATTTCAAGCTATAAACCTGCCACAGCAACATATGCCATATATATGTGATACTACATTTGGGACTAATTGGGTCATATGTGATATTACTTCTCAATTACACTTTTCACATGTGTGATCAAGATCACTTATTCCATGTGAGAAATGTGGAACATTTGTGGGACTATATGTTCCAGATGTGGGACTCCACCTTAAGCATGTGGGATTACCTGGAATTAGACGTCCAACATGTGTGATTCCATGTCTCAGACGTGGGATCATTCATTCCAGATGTGTGATTACATATCACACATCATATCCCACATGTCCCACATGTGGGATCTGTGGTAACACAGGGTGGGATCACACTTTGAGGTGATAGCACGATTTATCAATCCTTTTCCTATTATCGATATTAGAACTGAGATGTGAGAAGAAATTTCAAAATATCAAATGAAGACCATCTCACATAAACATAAAAACATACGATAGGTGTTAAAGGAAGTGAAGCTAGTCATTGTTTTGCATTTCTAGCTTCTTTTTTCTTCTCCTTTTCTTTCATCTTTAGCTCCTTCTTCTCAACTATCTTCTTCTCCTTGTACGTTGCCATTTCCTCATATGTTTTTACCCTCTCTTGACAATACTGCTTCCACTGTAGATCACTTATACCCTTCTTCTTTTCACCTAAGAGTTTAATACGATTAACTAATGACTGGGATATCTGACAAGAGGATCCATATGGAGTAACCCCACATTTTTGGTGAGGAATTACCTCACCTTTTCCATTGTAAGCTACTGATGAAGTAGTGTAATGATTAATCTAAAAACCCAAAGATTGAACTTATATAAGTAAACTATCTCCAGATCATATTCAAATAGATGATCAGTAAACGTACTGTGGTATCTCATAATACATCATATACTCCATTACATACATCCAAAGCTATCTCAACACCAAATTCATCCACTCAAAATTTAGCACCTCTCACCTCACCTAGCTTAACACCCTCTTTTTTACCAACTATTGTACCTTTCTCCTTATCATATGGCATTCCAGACTTCATTACAATCAAACCCCACATCCCAAAGGCATACCTAGTATGATCTTTATCGGTATGTGGACGATTATGAAATCCTAAACATGTAACCACCAAGTTTGAAGCAAAAACTAAACCATTTTGAGTACCTTGCCATAAAAGATCATGAAACCCAGGGACCGAAGGCTCGAAGGCTAGAGCAAGATTGGTTTTAAATACGAAAAGGGATAATCAGGAGAATCTTCCCGCCCAGAAATCACGAATTTGATGAAACTCAATCATTCTTTCTCAATCAGTTTGAATACGTGCCGGATTTGCAGATGTAAATGCATTGAAAGAGTAAGGTCCTAAGGAGAATAAGTGCTACGATAAGAAAACTATTCATATAATATAAAACCTTTTAGAATACTGACCTAGTGATTTATCCTTATCACATCCACCTCGCCAGCCAGTACATCCCATCCAACCATCCAGTGGTTCACCTTCAGAATCTTCACCCTTTTGGAGAGAACAATGAATCTTGCATTTATTCCGTGCTCTTGCATGTTGGAAAGTTGTAGATATAGAATGGTCGTATTGAGCTCGAAGATCTGGTGTCATATCTTTGAAAGGAATACACTGAACGGCTAATACTATGGAGAGATCGCGCTTATTAATGACCACCACTGTACCATGATTGATGCTTATTCTTTCTCTTCCAGCTAGCTCAGGATGATCTTTTATACTATAACGAAAGATAAATTTGGTATTTAGCGGTAAACCTAAATCCTTAGTAAGCTGTGCCTTCAACTCCGTCCTTTTTGCATGATGACGAGAGTAAGGTTTCCCAATCATCTTCTCCTTATGATAGACTTCTCTTGATTTATGATAGCTAGGTGAAGTTCTCGAATTGAAACATTGAACCTTATGACCTGCATCCTTTTTACGTTGATTACTTCTTGATCTAGTCATTATAATTCAATACACTACAAATCCGATCCAGAAATAACTCATCAGAAGTTAGTTATAATTCTTAAATTCTTAATGCCATTGATTTAAACATTACTAGGCTAATATCGGACTTACCTGCTTTGGTCCTATTCCAATGAGCAAATATTTCCTACTTCGATCCGATTCCACTGACCCAGTAAGTAGTATTATCTATTTATCAACCCTTCCCTGAACAGTAGGCCGAAGGACTCCCAGAGTTCGTAGCACGGAGTCCAACAACTTGGGAGCAAACAGCAACTAACTGGGGGATAGATGGTTATTTGATAGATAGAGTAACTGACTGGTCAATCGATGGATGACTCTAAAGGAACAAATCGTTTCAAGTTAACGTCATATTACGAACTCATTAGGAATATGAAGGTGGTATATATCTAAGATGAGTAATTAAACTTACAATGATCAAATTGGCCAATATGAG